GCATTACGTTACGCTCTACTTCCTGTCAATCACCTGACACCCACAGCAAGAAATGAAAGCCCTCTCCAGGATATAATATATGGCAAAATCATATCAAATATTTGCAGTATTTGGACTATGATCAAACATTGCTTCGAGGTACAAGTCCAACAGAAATTAAACAGTTTTTTTCCCCTGCTTCAACAAAAATTGCAATTGCATATGGAATCTCTACTTTCTTTTGAGAAAAAAAAATCAGTAAGTAAAACAGAGAGAGAGGAATACTTTTCACATAGCCAGTACATAAAATCATTTTAAAGCTGCACATATCAATATTCTTACAGTAACAATGGGTCAAATGACTGTGCAATGTGAAAAGAGTTCACCGGGAGTGACAAACCCACAAAGAATTATCAGCAACTTTTCACTTATACTCAGCTCTCCGTAGCATTTTAGTTTTGTCAGTGGTCAACCCCATTTCCAGCAGCAGGAAGTTATTTTCAGCTATAACAAAGGCTGATAACCCACCTGTCCAACACCAACCGCAGACAGACACAGTTAGCAACTAGCTAGGGAACATAGTGGAGCAGAAAATATCTAAAGAGCCAGATATTTTTCTCAGGAGTTGGTGGGGAGCAAAACTAGCTTAAAAGGGTGAATACTGGACTTTACGTTGACTAAGATGCCACAAAGAAATCTCCAAATGAATGATCACTCTGTAACCACTGCATATGTAAATATAACGCTACACGTTCACAACCTAACTGCACCAGATGGGAAGAGTTGACGTTAGAAATGGTTCGGAAAAGTGTAGACACTTTCAATAAATACTCTGCAGGTGATTGGATGAACCACCTGTCTATCACCCTCTATCACAGACTAACTTCAACCAATCAGATCAACGAACCATATAACATAGTCAAACTCTTACTGAAGCCAGTCAGGAGAGGAGTGAAAACATCTCTTTTATTAAGAAAAGTCTTCAGCACCATTCTTTGGTCTTCTCTCGATGAAGAAATACCCTCCAGATCTGATATATAACTAGCAGCATCTATGCTAACCCCTTTAGCAGCCGCCATTGTTGTTTTCGAGCAAACTCCACACTCCAGCTGCCCCACAAGGTTAACAAGTTCCCCATATAAACGTAAAAGGTGACGATATTTCAATGTTGTGTTCAAAACTTTCCGCTGCCCCCAAGTGGCCAAAAAAAACCCCAGCTATTGCAGGTTTAAAAAGATAAACCTTGCAACATGGTTCAGGTTGTATTTTCATTTTGTTCTGGACAGAGCACAGTCAGTTCATTTAAAGAGTTTTATTTGCCATGTACATTTTACTGTGACTCAGCATGTGTACAATGGTGGACGGAGGGGTCAAGGACAAAGCAACCCTCTTAAAACTCAAGGGCAGTGAATGCAACACGTGTAAAAGAGAAAGGGAAGCCATTACAAACTCTCCCTCCCTCCAAACATGCCCTAATGTCCTGTTCTCTCTATTCTGTCTCTTTTCTCTCTCTCTCTTAGTTTAAGGCATGTTTACATTTCGCACAGCAGAAAACAGACAGAGAAACAATAAAACCCGGTTTATTAGGAAATGGCTCCTGTGTGCTTCACCGGCGCCTGACCGCCCTGTGCGGTTGCTATGGAAACACGCCATAAGAGGCAGTGCTTTTGCCTCTCTGAGTGGAATGAGTCACCGACTAAACCTGTGGAGCCAGGCCAATCAGAGACTGCCAGCAGGACTGAAGGCCAATTCAGAGAGCCAATGGTGTGGCGAGATCAGGAAGATAGAGAGTAACACCTCGCAAATTTTGCTTTCCGTTTGACTAATGACTTCGAGGTATGTGGGGATGTGCCAATTTCGTCTTTTCTCTATTTTTCACTCTTTGTTTCGTTTCATTGTTTAGTCAGTTTCTAACCTCAGAGTCACCATGACTCAGGTTAAATGGTCCTGGCAGCAGGTTATTACAGCTCACAGGTCACTGCCACCTCTAATTCTCTGCAATGAGGAAGTGATACAAAAATAAATAGCAGCCGTCACATGTTGTCTAGAACACAAGAAATGTCACACCAGTAGGAAAAGTGTTTACACATGAACCATTTTTGTATGTTGACTTTTAGCTGAAACTCAATATCAACCTAAGATAAACTTTGAGATGGCACGGGGTTGTTGAATCGTACAGGCCTGAATGTTTCAGACTAGCAACAAGGAATCATTATTGCAGGCCTTTTTCCCTAGCATATCAAGTTTTCAGATAGATTGGTATTGCAGCAAACTCTCTTTGTAAACAAGTGTAACAAAATATGTTGTTTATCAGTGTCTTCCAGAACAATCCATATATAGGGCCATTCCAAAAAGCACTTGTGATTAAAGCTGCAGTAGGTAACATTTCTAAAAATAACTTTTTGTCATATTTGCTGAAACTTTCATTATATCCTGACAGTAGTAGATGAAAAAAAGTTGTCAACTAACTTTCTCAACTCTGATCTCCGTTCAGGCCCGGTGGATTCTTGCAAATGCCATCAGGAGCACTAGGAGGAGCCAAAGGAACCAGATGCAGTACTTTCAGGATGTAAAAGTTTCAGCAAATATGACAAAAGTTATTTTGATAAAAGTTACCTACTGCAGCTTTAAGGTTAAGAAAAAATTGAGTCCTGTGAAGGACAGTCACTATATAGGGCGTAACCTCGACACCGACCAGAGTGATTGACAGACTGGCCACAGAAGTGTAGCAGAAGCAGATGTTCATAAATTTGGTAATAATGCCAATTTTAATACCAACATTGATGTGTTTCATCACAGTACAGTCATATAATTCAGTTTATAGCTCAAAAAACACTTTTTATGGTAGAGTACTGCTTTAATATAAGGGGAAGATCATGGTCATGGTTACGAGTAATAAAAATAACTAAAGCGGAATGAGTGAAACATTAGTGACTCAGATATGTCAGCTTGCTAATGTTAGCCACCATGAGCTAGGTGAGATTCTCATTTCAAAAGCTACTAAAATAATCTCACTTTAATAATCGGGTAATAAACAGTGAAAGAAAAAAACAACCAAATGCACAAACCTTTCATAAAATGTCCACTTCTAAGTGTAGCCTTTGTCTTTTAGAACTAGTAAAATATATAAAGCCCTCAGTTTTGCATAGTAATGTTGCTTGTCATTTAAAAAAAAAAAAAAAAAAATTTAAAAGCATTTAATTTAAAAGGTTATTTACATTCTTTGGAGTTTTTGAACATCTAATGGTGGCCTTCAAGAATAATGCAGATAAATACTAGATAATTTACTAATTCTTTAAATATGGGACTTGGGACAGTTATACCGAATGAGCTCCAAAAATTCCATAATGTATGATGGTCGACAAAAAATAGATATATTTGATAGAATTGTTCTATATATCAATTTTTAAGAAATAATAATTACGTCTCATCTTTTTCCCAGATACAGTCAAGATCAAGATAAAAACAGCCATAGGTTGAGTGATGAAAAGGAAGCCACAGTACCCCACCACAAGGTACGACTTTATTTTATGTCAGTACCGCCTTTGCTGTGGATTCTTGCAAATACAATTAGGAGCATTAGGAAGAGCCAGAGGAACCTGATTTTTTCACAGATTATCTGTCTCATGTGCTACTGTCAGGATATAATAAAAGTTTAAGTATATATGACAAAAAGCTCTTTTTACCTACTGCAGCTTTAACTTCATATTATCTATTACTATTAACAGTTAATTTTTTGGACAAATGAGACATGATTCCAGATACTGTTCGTAATTTGGGTCTGTCCCAAAATTTTCAGGGACATCTGGTCATCGTAGAGTGGAAATTATACTCGTATCTTAAATCATTCCAAATCGTGGTTATATGGACCACAAAAGCTCAATATAAACTGTGATAGGTGCCTTAAGGTAGTAGTGTGAAAATCAAGTTTTAATATCTTTAATATTTCATTTCATCCGCATGGTGTAAAGTCTTAAAAAATGCATTGAAACAAATTATAACCAGACTAACTTGGGGAACCAGGGGGCAAGGCAAGGTGGTGATTACTGCCCACCACCCTCTATTTCCCAGGGCCCCCTTGTGGGTTAATTCAGTCCTGATTACAGGTGACCACTAATCACAGTTCCTGCCCTTGAAAAATCCTTTTAGGAAACAAACACCTTCTGCTATGAGGAACTAAAGAGGAATCCCAGGAAATACTGTGAGTAAATGGTAGGTCTGGGGACATGATATGCAGTTCTGGATTTATCGATGCCGGTTTGGTGGCGTAAGCAGAACCCGCCGACACGATGGAAGCAGCGCGGGTCGTAAAGATAAGACAGCTTCAAATAACGGCTTTTACTGCCCTGCTGCACAGTCCGATACTGTATACCCAGCTCCCGACTCTGGGGCCCTGAGTGCTCCAAAGAAATGAACTTGCTTACTGCAGGTGCCACACACACACACACACACACACACACACACACACACACACACACACAAACAAGCATCATCCACTTATGCAAATACACTCCCAGCCTGAGTAAACACTTCAGTGGCACAAGCAAAATCTAATCTCTCATCTTCTTCCTTCTTCTTCTTCCTAAGCATGGGCAAGCACATGCAAACACACACTTTCACCAGCATATCCAAACACAGGCCTAACATCCACTAGAAGCACATATATTAACCGACTTAAGTGAAAACGCCCCCCATGGGATCAGCAGAGTGTAGTGTTTATGTATCGCTTGCATTTCTCCCTCATAAATATGAAATTAGCTCAATTAGGTTTGAGCGCGCTGCGTGGGATCGCTCCTTGACATGGCTCTAATTGAAATGAACAGCAGCTTGGCCTCCCCTGCCGGGGCCCGCCTAATGCCATTAGAGGGGATCTGAGGGCATGGCTCAGAGTGTGTGTGTGTGTGTGTGTGTGTGTGTGTGTGTGTGTGTGTGTGTGTGTGTTCGTCTCATTTGACACTCCCACACGCATCCACCTCACTATTTAATCATACACTAATCCCCATTCATACCTCCAACAACAGCAAGGACACCTATTGAATGAAACAGAGGCTGCACATACACTCATGCTGTGGAGGAGAAGCTGTTGAATAGGAAGAAAAGAGCGGGCTGTGCGCCATCAGCACCTAAGACAGCACCCTACCCATCATCCATCACTCTTCTAACACATCATTGGACAGACGTCAGCCATAATGGGCATGTTTCTTGCCACTTGCGCACTGTTCCCATCTAGTGGAAATGAAATGGACTGCAGCAAGGTAAAGAGAGAGCACACACACAAACACATACACACGCACACACATACACACACACCAGAGTGTATTTATGCCCCGGGTGCAATCATTGTTAACACTATCAATAATGCACTTGCACGAGGCTGAAGGCTAGTAAGACCAGAAAGCTGCATGTTTTGTGTTTGATTTCCCAAGCCTAGGGCAAGCCACAGACACACACATACACACATGCTGTGAGCGCCTCTGTTATGTAACCAGTAGCCACGTGTTGCCGTGGGAACGGGGAAGGAGCAGGATGGGGGGGGGGTAAGAGAGAGACCAGACAGAGAGAGAAAAAGGGGGAGGCTAAGAAGAGGAGTATCAAATCAATAATATGACACTGCGAGACTTTGGTGAGCCCGCCCACTGCTCACAGCGCCTTCTAAAGTCACACACAGGCATGGTCACGCACATCCACACACACACACACACACACACACACACACACACACACACACACCTCATGACTTGGTTGAGGTGGTTCAGGCAAGGCTAGGTGGGCTGGGGGCATTATAGAGACAGCAAGGCTAGTATAGTTCCCATTCTCCCACATGGAAACAAACATAAGACTAATACTGGATCAGACACTATTTTGCAACACAAACATTTTGATAGGATCCTTTAAAGCTGCATTGATTAATATTTTTACATGAACAAGGTACTAGATGAGTATGTACTGAGAAGGTTGCCATTTGTAGTGATGATCCCACAGAGAACTATAACCCAACTCTGTTCCCCTCGGCTCTATGGAGCATTAGCGTCTTTCAGCAGATTGTTTTGGTTTTCCATCCTGCAACTTAAATGTTTGCTTTCACTCTCACAGCTCTCATTAGCTTTCAGCAGCAGCAAGAAGCTATTTTCAGTGAAAAAGCTCTGATAAACCCACCGTACACTACCTGCCCAGCAGCAAATGGGAAGAAGCTAGTGAAGCATTTAGCAGTGAAGAGCCAGATCTTTTTCTCATGAACTGGAGGAGACCGAAACAAAGCTAAAGGGAGGGCAAATACAACTCCAAATGAAAGCTAATCTTGCTCCCTATCTGCTAGATGTGTAAATAGGCAACTGTTTGCAAACCCACTAGCTATAACAAGGTGATAATATGTCAGTGTTGTCTTTACCGAGGGGGCAAAAGAAATCACTCAATGCAGGTCTAAAAAATCATCATGTCAGTGCTCTCTGAAACATTACTTTGGCATTTCTGTACTTATCTGGGGATTCAGATAGGCCAGGGTGCGAACTACAGGGGAGCCAGGGGGAAGCTGACTTTGGCTGGCATTTTAACATGTGGCTTATGGAGATTGACTTACTTTTGGAGCCAGCCTCAAGTGGCCATTATTGGAACTGTAGCCACGGAGGTCGCCGCCTGAATAAGACATGAGCTCCCCTGAAAACATGATTTGAGAAATTTTTGGGGGGCTCCAAAATATTGATTATGCTATTTTTGCAATTGCATGGATTATGCATGAAAATGCGGCCGGTAATGATGTCATTAACTGATTATTATATATCAGATGTGCTGACATAAAGTAAAGCGAATACGCCTACATGATTGCAGCAACTAAAACAAAGTGAGCTATCCCAGTAAGTTTGCACACTGAGATAGGCTATATATGTGAGTTTCCGACTGAAACAAGAATTCTAAGGTAGACACTATCTGAGTATGTTGATACGGATCTATTTGGTTATTAATAGATGGAATACTTTCACATTTTGGTAAACATGCTTAGTGGCTTCCAAACACATACAGGTGAATTTTGGTGCTACAGGTCCTTGTCACTAACTGGCTGACATAACAATGTTAGTTTATATGCGATTAGCTAAAATTGGCCATGTCGATTCTAATATGAAGTGCTTATTGTTTAGTGGGCATGTTTATGTGCGTGAGCTGCTTAATTCGGTGAGTGTGTGTTTGTGGTGCATTACAGTGTGTGAACAGAATTGGTCTCTGCTCCTGTGTGTGTGTGTGCTTCTTTGGTGCAAGGGTGCTTGAGTTGTGTGAGTGTGGGACATTCTGTAGAGCTAAACTGGTTGTTTCTTTGCAAAGTGCTGTTATTCCAGAAACTCCTCAGACGACCGCATTCTTGAAATTATTTGAGATCTGGACAAAACCGCAGTAAAAATACCCAGCATGATGGAGAATAAGTGGTCTGGCCTGTAAAAGCAGCAGCCCTGTCTACGTTCTATTGTTCTGTAGGAAAGGGCAGCAGAACTTTTTTTTCTGGGAAAGTCGTGCTCTGCTGATACATCAGGGAGAGGCAGAGGAAAGGCTATAAACGGCAAGTGTTCCAGGTCCATTTTCAACAATCTAGGCCAGTTACTCTGACGTAAAAAGCCAGCGAGGAAGAGGGGAGCTGTTGCATTGCTCACCAACATGCACCAAGTGGATGTGGTTGATGAGGGATGAACAAGCAAGTGTGTGTGTGTGCATGTTGTGTGCACAGCAGCATCACCAAGCCCATATCAAGAGGCTTTCTGAGAAATCAGAGCCTTCTGCGGGCTGTTTTTGTGAATTTGCAGGAACACGAGGTCTTGTATTATCCCCACGTAACCCTGGCACTTTCTCAAGCAGAGTGAACTGGTACGGCTGGTCTATTTGGTTCCAGTCGCTGGGGAAACTGGTGCCGTGGAGAGAGCCTCCCCACCTCCTCCTTGTGCTGGACAAAGACAGATGACAGACCAAAGCAACTCTCCCAGAAACGGATGTACAAACAGACAGGAATAAATCCACAAGCAAATACAGCCGTGTCAGTAGCAGGAGTAGCATCAATTGGTTTGTCTGGTTTTTTCTGCTTTTCTATTCATCTCGCTGACCTCACAACTGTTTCTTTAACCCTCCCCGCCTCTTTGCGTTCCCCCCCCCATCTCTCTCACTCCCTTCAGGGCCGGTGTCGCCATCCCCTCTGTTGCCTTGGGGATGTATCTCACTTTAGTGGGCCTGCAGGGTGATGGGTGTAAGAGAGTGTCAAGGGAAGAGGAGGAGGAGGAGGAGGAGGAGGAGGAGGCGGCGGTGAGAGCATGCCAGGCGGTAAACAGATAACGAGAGACTGGTCAGAGTTTCGTTGCCATGTCACTGAGGACCGGGTTGAACTTCCTGTGACCTGCGTGACCTCAGATAAGAGCTGGATGCCGGCCCTCGGCATGGAGAAAGTGGTTAAGGAAAATGTCAGTGCGGTCTCCGGGACGATGGAAATGAGCACTTCCCCTTTTCAGCAGTGTGGTTTTGGGTGTCATGCACAGACGTCAAGCAGCATGGGATATATGACGCAGGCTAAGCGCTGGCTCTCTCTCTCTCTCTCTCCCTCTCTCTCTGTCTCTCTTCCCATCTGTGGCTGAACAAGACACTGGAGAATGGCTAACATGGCAGCGTTGGTTCATGTGACACTCCCTTGTGCCTTTGGCCTACTTAGCAGTCTGCACCTCCCCTAAAACCATCTCCTATTTAACTAACTCCTCTCCAACTACCTCCCCACTTATCCAGCTGTCAAAAATCCAGATTTAACCTCTCTCTGACAAAAACCTCTCCACCTCCATCTTCACTCTTCATTTCTAATGTCCACTTGTTCCTCTGAAGTGCCCAACACTGTGTCCATCTTTATAAAATCACATTGAGTGACCAAGGGTTCTTCAAACCCACAGAATTATAGCCACAAGTAGGATCACATCAAAGTCATTTTCCATTCATTTCCCAAGATTCCCCGGAGTCAGCGGCTTTCAAGGTTTTATATATATGAGATTTAAAACATTAATATAGCAGCTAACAACTATTGGCTATGTAAAGATATAGTGGAGTCATGCTGTCCTGAGCAGAGAATGTCACACTCTGCCTGTGTTGCTATCACAGCCTCTCTGTGGTTTGTTTACACAGCCGGTCTGCTCTGTGTGAAGCTGAGTAGAGCGAAGGAAACTGCTGTTTTTCTAATCTGCGTCACTGAAGAGGAAGGATTTATTTTAATCAAAGCAGAGTTGGTGATTGTTGGAACAGTGGAAAGACTAACTAAGACTATTTTGTTGAGTTTGATTATGTCCTTGCCACTTTGAATTGAATTGAAACAATGCCACAATGATCTACAAGGTAAAATGACTGTTTTTATCAATGGAGTCTGGTGGCGAGTGATAGTGATATCACGGCTGTTATCTTAGCTCCATCAAGTTCCTCAAGTAAGCTATCTTTTCAAAACTAATCCTCTAACTTGTGTCTTCTTCGACTACACTAAAACTATCTCTTCTGTGACTGCTGTATCTGCTTTCCTCATCTTAACTCCCCATTCAGATATTTTCATGACTACACATTCAGACTGTCCTTTCATCTTCTATTATTCTACTGAACTTTACTCCAGCATCTTCCAACTATCTTTTATACAAATTTAACAATTATTTTCATTATTGATTAATCTGTCGACATTGTTTGGTCCATAAAATGACAGGAAAATGTGAAAAAGAATGATTGCTGTTTTCCCAAAGCCAAAAGGTATTTAGTTTCCTCTCAGAGGACTAAAGAAATCAGAAAATATATACATTAAAAAAATGGAAACAAAAAATAAAAAAAGATTTTCCTTCTTTAAAAATTACCCAAAATGATTGATTCATCAAAGTCGGCGATTCATTTTATTTACTTAATTGTTGTTACATGCCAAAAATTTTACTGTATTGTTTTCTTTTTCTTTTTTTGACCAAAATGTTAATTGAATCAGTGCTGTGTTGGTGAATAAAGGAAATAGCAAACATTTGTTGGCTGTACCAAATTCACTAGACAAACTAGAATTAAGTCAAACAAATTAGTAAAAACAATAGGATAAAAAAACTAATTGAACTTCAATGTATTATTTATATATATATTGAAAGGACAAATGTAAAATATGTAGCCTGTAAATACAGTCCATATAACATAGTTGACTTAATTTGGATAAGCTTAAATATCTCTTGTGGAAGTTGTTTTTAGTTGATTCAATTCACAATTATTATGTTACTGTAATACTAATTAAGTT